GAAGCTCAGGTAGGTCAAATCTTAGTACTAGTATTTTGTCTGTGTGTGTGCTCAAAATTTATAAGATTGGTAATGGTTGCCTTGAATATTTTAGAAACAACTATAACTTTTTGGAAGCCTATATTCAAGTGGTTGTAACACGAAGGTATTACTCTCATAGATTTCTTAATTTTCAAAATCATTTTACATATAACTTATATAAATAATTTAAATTATTTTAAGTCCCTTTGGACAGGTGTGGAGATGCAGAAGATTTTGTTTGGATGGTTTGATGGTAATATTCATCGTTAGGATGGTAGTGGTAACCTTAGTAGGTAGAGTTGCCTTTTACCACAATGTTTGAAATTATTTTTTCTTCTCATAATGTTATGAAGCCCAAAAGCATCAGTATCAACTCTTTAAACATGTAATTGTTTGCACATTCTGCCATTAATCAGAAATTTGTTTGAAAGTCAGCAGTGGGAGGTAGAGGGCAAGATGGTCAGTTGTGCTGTCCAAAATGTCCTTGCACTCTTGTTGAAACATTTGTATTTAAGTGAAGCATTTGTATCTTATTGTTAAAAAAAGTATTTTTTTATTATTCTTGTCTATTCTGAGTTGTACTTCTTGTGCTACTGCATGCTTTTTAGGAAAAAACCAGTAAAACGTTGAATAATTATAATGTTCACTTGGTAACACTGGAGTGCTTTGTTTGAAGTAGTTTTATAATAACATAAAAACTGAGGATATCAAATGTAATTTTTTGTGAACAATATTAATGTTGCTTTCATTTTCCAGCCTCTACCAGATTTGTTAAATGTGAAAAATGTCACCATTTCATTGTTGTTCTTTCTGATGTTGATTCCAAAAAAACATCAAAAGAGGATCGACAAATATGCATTGAGAAGTCAGGAATCCATAGAAAAGTTCCTCCACCCCCTAAGAAGGTAAGATTTAAAGATTAAAGAAGTGTAGTAAATAATTATTTGATATAATTGGCGATAATACCTGTCTTTTCTGTATTTGATCTTCAACTACTGTCTATCTTAAGAAACTATACCCTGTCTTCCTGTCCACTACATCTCTCCACCATATACTCTGTCTTCCTGTCCACTACATCTCTCCACCATATACTCTGTCTTCCTGTCCACTACATCTCTCCACCATATACTCTGTCTTCCTGTCCACTACATCTCTCCACCATATACTCTGTCTTCCTGTCCACTACATCTCTCCACCATATACTCTGTCTTCCTGTCCACTACATCACTCCACCATATACTCTGTCTTCCTGTCCACTACATCACTCCACCATATACTCTGTCTTCCTGTCCACTACATATCTCCACCATATACCCTGTCTTCCTGTCCACCACATTTCTCTACCATATATTCTGTCTTCCTGTCCACCACATTTCTCTACCATATACCCTGTCTTCCTGTCCACCACATTTCTCTACCATATACCCTGTCTTCCTGTCCACCACATTTCTCTACCATATATTCTGTCTTCCTGTCTACCATATACTCTATTTTCCTTGTGTTCCCAGCATACTACTAGTCTTCCTTGTGTTCCCAGCATACTACTAGTCTTCCTTGTGTTCCCAGGATACTACTAGTCTTCCTTGTATTCTCAGCATACTACTTGTCTTCCTTGTGTTCCCAGCATACTGCTAGTCTTCCTTGTGTTCCCAGCATACTGCTAGTCTTCCTTGTGTTCCCAGCATACTACTTGTCTTCCCAGCATACTTCTAGGCTTCCTTGTGTTCCCAGCATACTACTAGTCTTCCTTGTGTTCCCAGCATACTACTAGTCTTCCTTGTGTTCCCAGCATACTACTAGTCTTCCTTGTGTTCCCAGCATACTACTAGTCTTCCTTGTGTTCCCAGCATACTACTAGTCTTCCTTGTGTTCCCAGCATACTACTAGTCTTCCTTGTGTTCCCAGCATACTACATATTTTGTTTTTTTCTTCAGTGACATGCCCCAGCTTTACATTTTATGTTAAATAAAACGTTTTTGTTTTTCCTGGCTTCTTACACTAGGGGTGCCAGATTAGTAGCAACCATTGTTTTTAAACTATTGAATCCGTCTTATTAATGATATTGTTAGCATGAAATATTTTAGGTTTGAACTTCTATTGCAGTGGTTGCTGGATTATGGTGATAGGCCTTATTGTCAGAAAGAGCCGTGACCAGTAATTAACAGGGGTTAGGTCACAGGACTGTAGTAGCTAGGCATGATGGGTATAGCAACAAAAAATTAACATTAAAATATACATTTTGACCACCTTCTGCCATAGTATAGTAGTTACTGTAGTTTTGAGTGGTTTTACTGAGAGAAATGTTTCTATGTACAACATCTGTGGGAATGTTAAACTTCTAGATTAACATAAGGCATTAAATTTTCCTAAATAATATAAAATGAAGCTTGAATAATAGGAAGAGATGTTTCCTTTAAAGTTTTTTATGTTCCAGTTCTAATGAATATATTAGTGAAAAAGATGTTGTATGAGCAATGTACAAGAAGAAACAAAGAGATGTGAAAACATTATATATTTTATCAGCTTTATTTAAAATATTTGAGTATAAATCTTATCTTTTTGTTTATGGTTCCATGAGGTGAAAATCGCTAAAAGATAGAAAAATAATACGTCATATAAAGCTTAGATAAAATCTAACATACAAATAGGAATATTATTTTATTATTTTGAGCAAACCAAAAGAATGCCAGTAGATTTATATTGTTACAAAGACAATAATGAAAGCAGAGAGGAACACAACAAACAATATGCGGTCTAAGCCTGTAGCAATCAAATACCAGTCTCCATCTATGGGCTGAGGTTTCTGGTGGCCACTGTTGTCATCCTCGTTGTCTGATGTGGTCAGTTCTATCCGATCGTGAGAAAAATCCCTGTTTTCCTGGCCACAAATGCAGATAAGACGTCCACCAACTCCTGAAAGAAAAGAAACTAAGAAACGGGGAGGGCTGATGGAACTGGAAAGGTGAGGAAGGTTTAGTACTATGACTTCCAAGATCAGTGCCACAACTCCAATGAGTAGAAGGCTTTCAACTGGTTTAACTGTAAAAAAAATAATATATATATAACTTGCGCTGTTGTAGTTGGACAGATGCATTTTACACGTACCATAACTAATTTGAGAGTAAAATGATTCAAATTATTTGACATAGATAACTAAGTAAAAATCGAAAAACAATGGTATATTCGTAAAACATGACATCAAAAACACAACGAGCCATTTTATCCTTTTTCTACCCTAAAACCATGTCTTCTATTCTGTATCTTTTGTTTTTATTGGTCTGAAACTTCACTGATGCTCTTGATCTCATCTTCTCTATGGACAATACGTGGTTTTACTCTATTCTTACATTCTGTGAAGGTCTGAAACTTGAATTTTTATTGTTCTTCTTGTCAGCTCCAACAACTTGATGTGGAGTTAAAACTTTGCTGTACTCTGTACCCATGTTCTCTGACAACTAGATGTGGAGTTAAAACGTTGCTGTACTCTGTACCCATGTTCTACAACAACTAAATGTGGAGTTAAAACGTTGCTGTACTCTGTACCCATGTTCTCTGACAACTAGATGTGGAGTTAAAACTTTGCTGTACTCTGTACCCATGTTCTCTAAAAACTAGATGTGGAGTTAAAACTTTGCTGTACTCTGTACCCATGTTCTCCAACAACTAAATGTGGAGTTAAAACTTTGCTGTAACTCTGTACCCATGTTCTCTGACAACTAGATGTGGAGTTAAAACTTTGCTGTACTCTGTACCCATGTTCTCTAAAAACTAGATGTGGAGTTAAAACTTTGCTGTAACTCTGTACCCATGTTCTCTGACAACTAGATGTGGAGTTAAAACTTTGCTGTAACTCTGTACCCATGTTCTTTGACAACTAGATGTGGAGTTAAATCTTTGCTGTACTCTGTACTCTAACGGACTAAGACTTTGCTGTGTCCTGAATATTTTTTCTTCTTAATGAAATTGAAACTTCACAAATACAATACTCTGTGTCCTTTTTTAGATATTTATAATTACAAAGTGGCTTTAATCAGAATAATTTTATCTTGTTACTGGCCTTAATACTTAGTTATAAGTATACCTATTCTTAATCTTCTTTAACGGGTACTACCGTCGTGACAACAACCTCGATTTGTTGTTATATTTTAAAATTTTCTTTTTATCATATCAACATAAAAAACTATCAAATCTTAAGTTTCTCTAACACTAGTCCTGTAGTTAATATTAAGAGTAAACAAACAAACGGTTGGAAGTGTCTCTAATGGTGACTGTTAGTACATCGTTGGCACAGTTCTGATAACTTTAATGATACGTGTCCTTGCACAAATGTCAGGATACCACGATGTCATTAGTTGAGTCGAGAAACTTTCAAATTTATCGTCTTAAAATTGTTCCGTAAAAAAACCCACTAAACCAGGTGAAATCTTTAATAATACTTTTTTTTTCAAACTATTTATACCAGTTTTGTGGATTTTTCTTGTTGAGCGCAAAGTTATATAATGAAATACCTTTTCTGTGCTCACAGCGAGTATCGAAACCCGATTTTTAACGTTATAAGCCCATAGAGTTACCGCTGAATCACCGGAGGGTGGGATCTTGACCAGTAACACATTTCATTTAACGGGAGGGAGATGGTATTGAAAGGTTTACGAACCAATAATACAATATGGCTGAAGAGTAGCCACTGGTACAAATAAAGGTTGAGAAAAATATAATTTTAATCTTTGTTATTTTTCTTGATGTGAATCTTTGTTAGCTTCTTTATATAAATATGTATACAAGAAAATTTGAAAAAGTTTTTCAACACAAAAATTAAATTTGTTAATCCATTTTACGTGAACCACGTTTCACATTTGAATTGTAAAGAAGAATAGATTAAATCCGAAAATATTCTGATTTGAATTTTTAAAAAAATGTCCAAAACATATAAGTCAAAACTGTTGATGTTTTTAGTGTAAAGGTACACAATAGGTTATTAGCGCTCTGTCAACCGCGAGGAATGGAACCTCGGAAACTTACTGCTGACCAACCGTGGAAAAAACTTTAAGATGATACAATTTTACTATTTAAATAACCCTAAAAGCTGTATGATAACAAAAGTAAATAACCCTAAAAGCTGTATGATAACAAAAGTAAATAACCCTAAAAGCTGTATGATAACAAAAGTAAATAACCCTAAAAGCTGTATGATAACAAAAGTAAATAACCCTAAAAGCTGTATAACAAAAGTAAATAACCCTAAAAGCTGTATTATAATAAAAGTAAATAACCCTAAAAACTGTATGATAACAAAAGTAAATAACCCTAAAAACTGTATGATAACAAAAGTAAATAACCCTAAAAGTTGTATGATAACAAAAGTAAATAACCCTAAAAGTTGTATGATAAAAAAATATTCGCAAAGTATGAGTATAAAATGTAGTTGGAGAAACGGAAACTAAATACAGAAAACTAACGGTTCACGCAAATGGCCATTCTTGAACTGAACATAATAAAAAAGGCCCGAATCTCTTCGAACTTAAAACAATTATAATGTTATCATATTTATAACAGAAAGTTAAATTATTTATATATTATTATAGTACTAGACCTAGTGATACTGAACGGGGAGGCCCGACATGGTCTGGTGGTTAAGGCGCTCGACTCGCAATCTGAGGGTCGCGGGTTCGAATCCCCGTCACACCAAACATGCCCGCCCTTTCAGCCGTAGGAGCGTTATAATGTGACAGTCAATCCCACTATTCGTTGGTAAAAGAGTAGCCCAAGATTTAGCTACCTTCCCTCTAGTCTTACACTGCTAAATTAGGGACGGCTAGCGCAGATAGCCCTCGTGTAGCTTTGCTACGGCAAGTTTCTCAGCCTCGGGAGCTAGACACAAGTTGTCCACGTAGAAAACGTTTCAGGTCTTTATTTAAGTTTATTGGTATTAAACGTCATAGAATAAGATACAAATGCTAAGCCTGTTTTTTCCTCTTCTTCTTGGTGGTAGGAGGCCTGCAGAACAATATAAACTTAGATCGTAGGTATCTGATTACTGTATTATGTAGCTGTTTTATTCAAAACTTAATTTCATGTTTATAAAGTGTTTGTATGGTCATTATTGTAAGTAATAGTTCTTTAATTCATTTAACATAGTTATCATTTGGATAGTTTTTCTAGAAGTTATCGTCTGTTTATTTTAACGCAAAGCTACACAATATGCTATCTCTCCACCGCAGGGAATCGAACTCCAAATTTTAGCGTTGTAATTCCGTAAACTCCTTGCTGGTCCACTGGGAACTGGAAGTTAGGGTAATTTAAAATTAATTTATAGTTATAAAGGAAAAGAAGCGCGTGCAAAACTGAAGTATTTTATAAACAAACAATGAAGGATTTTGGGCAACAAAATTAATTTTTTTTAAACTTTATATTTTTACCATTATTGAAAAATATGACCAAAAAAATAAGATACTTTACCGGTGATTCTAACCGCTCCTGAAGACACGATCTGAATCAGACTAATAAATATTCCGTAAAGCATGAAAATGGCGGCTGCTCCCAACACCAATTTCTCCTTTGAATTAACTGGAACCCAAAACATCACTAAAAACAACAAAATTGCGACCAGGATTGGAAAGTGTCTTAGCTCAGAAACAGCCAAGACAGGAAGTCGGCGAAGACGAACATAATATTCAATTGAATGATAAGGTTCTGGACAGCAATCGTAATATTGTGTTACTTTTGTACCTGTAATGTTAATCATCTGCCATTTCATATTATGGTTTTGTAGATCTGACATATTTTCGTCTTTTAACTGGAGATCGATATTCAAACCATCGTGAGTCCACGATCCAATTTTGATTTTACATACTTGAATGTCGTCAGGAAAGAGCGATAGGTCCAAAGGACACAACACACGGATGGTAGCGGGAGGAACCCAAGTCACCACTCCTGCTGAGTTCACGATGCTCAGGGTCTTTGTTTTCAGGTCAATATCAGTGGCCGGAAAACTACGTGGCAGGAAATAAAAATGAGGAAAACGTGTAAATTTGAGCGTTGGAAATAATTATATCAACATTCAAGTTTTTAGCCAAAAGCGATAAGTTAAAAGAAAGAACGAGGTACATCACAAACAAAATATTAAATGTACTTGTATTCAGTTAGTGTTTTAAAAAATTAAACAACTCGCTGATGCCCAGAGTACGAAGGGTATGTTTTCTTGGTGGAAACCCTACATTTTACATAAATTAAATATTTTTTGTATATCAGGCAACATTATATTACTCATCTTATTCTACCTATTATAAATAGTGATATCCGGCTGCCAAATTGTATGATCAGGGAGGTGAATACTGCTCAATCCATCATAATCGGCAGGATCCCATACGAAATGTTCATCTTTCCATTCCTGTAAAAACAACATATTAGTTTTTATCTTTCGATAGTTTAAGCTGTACAAACTTCGTTTGTTATTTCAATTGTCATATTCAACGTTATTGTAATTTCTAAGCCTTATTCTTATTGAACTTTCACTGAGGATTTCACTTTATTTATTATATCCCGCTGCCTACTTCACGAGTGTTGTAAAGTTACACGAGTTAGATAAAGTCGGATTATTTGTGTAATAGAGATTTAATGATATACACTCTTAAAACATTTATTTTTAAACAGCGCACAAATGAACTAAGGCCCAATACCAAGTCCACAACTTCAGACTAATGTTACATTCATTATCAAAACTTCAGACAAAAGCGAAATATTTGTAGTATTTAATTAGAATTAATTCTTGCCGAAAGCTCGTGTAATTTCAGAAGACGAAAATGTATATCAAAAAATGCTCTGTTATCCAACGAAACAACCAGAAAAGTCTTTCACCCAAGACATTGTAACTTGGCGAACCTCAGATTTTTCACATTATTCCACGACATTTGCGTGTGGTAGTATTTTGTGGAAACCCTAAAGATCACGAAGGATATATTCCCTTGTATTGATGTGTGGTAGTATTTTGTGGAAACCCTAAAGATCATGAAGGATATATTCCCTTGTATTGATGTGTGGTAGTATTTTGTGGAAACCCTAAAGATCATGAAGGATATATTCCCTTGTATTGATGTGTGGTAGTATTTTGTGGAAACCCTAAAGATCACGAAGGATATATTCCCTTGTGTTGATGTGTGGTACTTCCTTTCTTAGAAATAATTTTAAATCTTTTTTATATATATTGTAAATATTTTTACAGTAGACACATTAGCCTGTGATCTAAACTTGTTCTGAACAGAAGTTAATAATAACTAAGTACACACGTGAAAATCCCTTTCTACATCATCTTAAAGTTTTAAAATTATTATCTTTTTTTTTTGGGGGGGGGGGCTGGTTCGTTTAAACTATGCGGTGAAAGTAAGGTTTCGTCCAATCCGCATAAAAAGATAACACTTACAAACTATTGTAACTTGTAGGTCCAAGTTTATAAATACCACCTAATTGTACTAAACGATAAACTTAGTGGTACAATGTCACGACTAAACGATAGAATAACAAAATACACGCGATAACTAAAACTGATCTAAATACTTCACTGGATCTCTACCACTGAAAACCAATTGACTGATTCACTGGCTAGCTTCAGTTAATTACCCCAATCGTACTTATACCTGATGTTTCACTTCTAGTTATCATCTAAGTTACCAGATTTTCGTGACGTCATCTAGATTCTGGAATATTCTAAGGATTCTAGCATTTACTCTATCTTAAAATGATGCGCCCTCTAGCTGAAGCATTTGAACAATATGATGTATTTTTTTTTATCTCTATGGCATTACAAATATAGCTTACAACATAATATTTGGATACCCCTTGGTGGCTTTTAGATAATTCTGAGTTTATAACGCTAAAAATCGAGTTTCCATACCTGCAGTTGGCAGAGCACTGATAGCCCATTTTGTAGCTTTGTGTTTAACAACAATGTTTGAAAATAATTCAATGGAAATGTGGGCTATTCAGGTAATATATTGAGTGATATACACACACACACACAATTAATAACCAGTTGTTTCACAGAAACTAATTTTTTTTAACGTAACAGAATTTTAAGTTCTTGTGTCAATGTTATTTTCTTTTCTTTCTTTATTTTTTTGTATGTTTGTCATCGTAAATCTGGTTTTACATTTTTGTTAATAATATCAAGAATATATCTGTCATGATATAAAACACTGTTTGGTGTTTGTGAGTGAATGTTTTATTATTGTTTAATTTAATGTAATGTACCGTTGTTGGGTTTGTTAGTGTCAATTTTGTTCGTGGTGCCTAGATACCTCTTCTAAGTTTTGCAACAGTTCCGGTCATGTGACCTCTTTGTCCAATACTGTATATATATATGTATCCTTGTCAGTGAAAATTACTTGTACCCGATGATGGCAAAACCTTGTCGAAACGTTGTACATTTGCTGTTATGTTAAACTTATATTAAAGTTTTTTCTTCAATACCCATTCAAGCCGTCTCCAACCATTATTAAGGAAAGTTATATATTTTGTTTTAAATTCTGACATCTATATTTTATCATTCGCAAGGGGAACGGATTTTCATACTTTTGCTAAGCGCAAAGTTACACAATGGCCATCTGAGTTGGGCCCATTACAGGGATTGAACCCCAAATTCAGCGGTATAACCTTCAAGCTTATCGCTTAGCCACCGGGAGTAAATATTCATTAACAGCCTATGCAAAAATTCAACATTCAGTTTGACCCAAATTTGACCATAACTTTTTATTTAATTCAAATTCACCAATTCTATTATTATAAAGAGAACGAATATTTAAACTGACATCTGTAAACTGCTGATCAAAGTAATGTCAACTTTTAGCCAAAACTAAAATTATCTAATAACAAAAAGTTATAATGACCATGTTCTTGTCTGCGGACTGCCAGAGTCACCCTAAAAACTAAATATTAACTTGACTTACCATTTGAATCCAGGATTCTAGTGTTAACACTTGCTTTTCTTCGTCCTACGGTATGAATAATATCAACTTTATTATCTGATTTATACTCCCACTTTTTAAGAGGTAATATTACTAGTAAGTATGATATAAACTATAATATAATTAGAAGGTTTTAGGGCAAAGCTCTATATCTTGAAAAAAAAGTTATTTTTGTTAAGGGAAGGTTTTAGAATTCTAAAATAAGGCTAAGAATTTGAACTAGGACTGTACTAGTAGTATATATTGTTAAGCTTAAGGTTACCTAGTACATTGTTATATCTTATACTATTTAAGTTTTAATGATTGTTTGAAATTGGATATAATTGAAAAATATAAGTAATGTTAAAACGCAACAAACTTTTTTGAGATTTTGATGAAAAATTTTTAAAAAAAGGGAAAAAATAGCGTATTTTAAAGCAAAATTAATTGTAAAACATCCGATTCTCTTTATTTCTTAGAAAGACTCCAAGAAAAAACGTTAGAACTTTTTACGACAGTAAAAAAAGTTCATAAAATGAATAAAAACGCAACAAACATTATTTGTGTATTTTAGTTTTCTTAAACGTTTAATTTCAGTTAAGAAAAGAAAAAACCCACGAATGACGTATAAAAAACAAAACAAATAAATTACCGTTAGATAATAATAATAATTATGACGGTAACTCACTTGTTACCCAAACATTAAATATTGTTTGAAATATACGCTCCTGAATGCCATCTGGGCAAAGAAAGAACTTAACCTTTAATGGATGAAACAGGAGACAACACATGAAAAATAAAACATAACACTAACAGACGAGAGAGTTTCAAAATAACAAGAGGCTAATAAAGTTTTCTCATGTCATGATTAATAAGTTGTAAAAAAATATATTTGTAATAGAGCTACTTTTTAGTAACGGACAAATAAAAATAAACGGATAAGCCTATAGAAATATTTCAAAAGTGAAATGGAACTAAAATAGTTCAAATTTTTTAAATTTATAAGACTAAAACTTGCATAGAAAATGGAACATCACAAAAAGCATAATAAAATGTGAGTTTTAATGAAATCAAATCGAGCATATACACGGTCTTACAAAACACGTTTTCCAACTCGACAAACACATAAAAAAAATGGCCTGCAAAATGTTTTTGCCACCAGACTGACGACATATTTTATTAGTTGTACCAGCCACCTTATGGATTTTATTTTTCTCACCACACTGATATTAAAAGTTTATTAACAGGATCATACAAATTTAATCAAAAACTTTTTAGGTGTGAAAAAAAAAAAGGTGCGGTCAAAAAAGGATTGTGTGCGCGACTAAAAGGAATGAAAATAGGTTGTGTGGTTTGAATAGTGTGTACACACACAAGACTGACCTTCCCCTTTTTTCTCAAAGTTTAGTAGAATGGAAAGCGCATTACTTATAAATATGCACAAAGGTGATTGGTTAATTTGTGCATGAACACGTGAACTAGCAAATGGTGGAATTTCAGAATATGTAATACAAACAGGACTGTGCTCCCCTCCCCTTCTGTACGCCCCCGTTTACAAACTCATCCATGTATATAAATGTGTCGAAACTGAAGGAATATCGAGAATGAAAACCAACAAATGACTTTCGTTGTTTGTATGTTTTAGCGCAAAGCCATCGCGGGGAATCGAACCCCCGCATTTAAGCGTTGTTAGTCCATAAACTTCCCGCTAACCCACATGGGGATTTTATAATTGGAAGACGACATTTAATGAAGAGTTCGTTATTTGATGGCCTTTTTATTAAAGGTTTATTTAGCAACATATTTTAACGTCATGATGTGTTGTAGTTCCATTAAATCACATAATCTTCGAAAGAAGACACACGAGAAATCTAATCACCGCAGTATTTATATAAGTTGTAGTATATTCACTAAAATATATTGTAAACTACTCACTAAATCAGACACATAGATCGGTAACAGTCCGAGGTTCACCGTTGTTACGTTAGAATGGTGTTGAACTGGACGGGTATGTTTATCATAGCCAATCAGAAGGTTCTTCTTCAAACGTTTAATGGTTGAACTGCCCAGCACACTACTGGTCAGCACAGAAGCTAGAGGAAGGAAAATGTTTTCAAATAAAACCACATAAAGAGAGACGTATGTTATCTTTTTTTTTTATCCAGAATGAAAAATTTGTTGTTAAAAATTAAGTTTGTATGTATATAATTTAATTTTAGTCTTATGACAAGTGTCCACTTCACTCAACGGTATTTCAATACTGAAAGAACCAAATCCACCTTATATCAACACTATTCATTACGAAATGGGTTGTTTGTTGTTGGAGTACTATTATTGTACGTTTTTTTAATTCTTGAAAATCCCTTAGAGACTAAATATAGATTGCAACGTTACAAAATATAATAGGCCTAACACTAATGTCTAATGATAAGTTATTTAATTAGGATCACGCTTCACCAGCTTGAAAATGAAATTCACACCATAAAATTCACTACTTTATGAGTTTGTACGAGGTCAACTTTACAGAAGCAGAAACTAACTAAATTAGAATAGACATAGCTTAGTATACCTACCAACAACCAGAGTAAAAAACGGTTTATAATAGATCATTCCTTTTTTTTTTTCTTCTTCTTCACACAGTTTTGTTAGATTCCTAATAAAATGATCTGGCACACAGAAGGCTTTAAATTTTCACCGCAGCAAACTTATCATGTGAGTAGAATTAACATACAAACTAACCATATACGGCTTCACCAAGGTTGTGTTATTCAGATGTACGATTCTATCTGTTTAACCGTCGATCAAAGTTCATTTTATAATCTCCTCCTCTTCCTCATTAGTTTAAATTGCACGATCTACGATTACATAAGAAAGACATATGTTGCTTACTCTTTCCTTGGTTATTTCGTTCCAAATTATGTTAGATCACGTGAAAGATAAATCGCTAGTTTTTTTTTATCTTTCAGAACTGTAAGCTATAATTTTAGGAACTAAGAACTAACTGAGTGTAAGATGTTTTCTTCCTGAATGTTTTTAAACAGATGTTTTTATTATAACTCATTGAATTACTTCCTGTTCTTTCGACTGAAGTTCTTGCTCGTACACTGGAATTGTTGTAACCAGTAAGGCCTATTGTATAATAGTGACAGAAGCCTAGCATGATATTGTGTAAATATAACTCTACGCAGAGTAAACTGAAAATGTTATTTGACATTAGGTTATCCCCACTAAACTTTCTAAAGTTTATCTTGTAATATGTAGTAAAAAAATGATTATATAATGTATATTATGTATAATTATTTGAAACACTTTCGAAAGTGTTTTCTCATATTTCAGTTATTCTGTACGTTGTGCCTGTTTTTACTTGATTCCAAAACATTCACATTTTTATTATATTTCCTCCTTCATTTACCTATTATCTTGCAGTAAAAATCAGTCCTATCGGCAAAAACTAGTTAACAAATAATTTTAATAGTGAAGCTTATCTCGATAATATTATGTATATTATTTATATAATATACCCGTAAAGGTATGAGATGATATAAACTCTCAAATTAAATAATATCCCCATATGTAAACATATGAATAAACAAACGGGAGATAATACATATACGTAAATATACATATATATGAATAATAGAAATCAAAATTCAAGTTAAGACAATCACAGGTATAAATAATCTTTATATTTGGAATTTTGTTTGTTATCCTCCTTCCAAATTTAAAGTGGCATTTATAAATGACTTTAATTTCGATGTATCATTCTGCATGCCGTGTTAAACATAACGATATACATAAAGTCAATTCATTAAATATCTCTCTCTCACATTTAATGTCACAACTAGTTTCAGTTTTAACTTTAAATTTTCACTAAAGTAAATCCACAAATAGTATTTTTTTACAATTTTAAGTAGTAGAATTTAGCTGTAAGCAGCCTCATTCTAATTGTGTCTATAAACTACCTCCCTGTTCGACCTTGTGTAGTTGTAACACAACATGGAAATACATAGGTTCATTCTAATTGTGTCTATAAACTACCTCCCTGTACGACCTTGTGTAGTTGTAACACAACATGGAAATACATAGGTTCATTCTAATTGGATGGTGCGAACTTAGACAGCTTCTCCCTCCTTCCTTTGCTGTGCAGGTACATTATCAGTCTGTTGAAGCACCTAGACCCCAGTCACCATTTTTGACTTGATATCACAGTTATATTGTGTTTTGTTTGTTTGTTTTGAATTTCGCGCAAAGCTACACGAGGGCTATCTGCGCTAGCCGTC